AYAMSATGTCTYGTACATTTAGGCAGAAGAAGCTGTYCGTTACTTGGAATTCTGCATTGAAAGACTCAATAATTCAGACCAAGCCATTCACAATTATCTCCTGTCRTTRTATGTAAAATTACATGATGATGACTCACTGCTACGCTATCTACAGCTACAGGGAACAGTAAGTGCAATAATTTCTTAAAGAAAGATGGTATTTGTCTCTTTGAGCCTTAAATAACTTATAATTATTACAATGAATATTTGTGGTGTTTTTAATTTTCCAGGATCCTGACATGATTTGCTACGACTTGAAATATGCCTTACGGCTTTGTTCAGAACATGATAAACACAGGGCCTGCGTCCATATCTATAGTACAATGGGGTTATATGAAGAGGCTGTTGACTTAGCGTTAAAGGTATATATTTAGTGCTAAATGATAGGTATCCTTTTGCCTAATGCCCTTATCAGCTATGCAGCACTCAGTAACCATACAGATCAGTGCGCTTYTTTGCACCCAGTGATGCACAATATGCATAAGTTACCATGCACAACTCCTTGCATATTGCTCTTTTGATTCTCCAAATTTTAATAATATTAACAATCAATACAATAATGTTTTGAGGTTGGTGTTGAGCTGGCAAAGCTTCAAGCAGAAAAACCACAAGAGGATGATGAAGTTTTGAGAAAAAAACTTTGGCTTCAAATTGCCAGACACGTTGTGCAAGAAGACAAAGATGTCAAAAAGTAACTCACGAAAGAATTTAATGTTTTTTATAGTCACTTCAATGATGAGAAAGTACTTAAAATAGGAACTAAAACTAAAGTGAGATTGATTGTTGTTTAAGGGCTATGGAGTTTTTAAATCAATGTGAACTCTTAAAGATAGAAGACATCCTTCCATTTTTCCAAGATTTTGTTACCATAGACCACTTCAAGGTAAATAGTATTTCCAAAACTTCCAGTAATTTTGTGTGAATTCAAAGACGTGAAGATTTGTGCCATTATTTTTTGTTGTCAGACAGCAAATGTGTGCAATCCACTTTACTTACAGTAAAGTTACAGTTAAAGTTACTTACAGTTACTTAAATAAAGTAACTTACAGTGTATGTTGTTGTTGTTGTTGTTGTAGGATGCAATTTGTTCATCTCTCAAAGAGTACAACCAACACATACAAAACCTAAAGAATGATATGCAAGTACGTACAATATTAAACTTATACCATATATTGAAATGTGTATCATTATCAATTATATTATTATCTTAATGATTACCTATCTAAGACAAACTACCAAAGCTATAATGTATTAAAATTTGATGATATACCCTTTAGTTAGCCTCTAATGTAATATGTAAAAATTATTTCTGTAGGATGCAACAGAAAGTGCAAAACTCATCAGAACGGATATCCAAGATGTTAGAAATAGGTTGGTTGGTTACCTTGAGCTATCAACTGACATTATATTAAATACTTAAACTAAGTCTCTTTTTTTGCTGTGTTTAGGTGTAGTGTGGTGCCAGCCAATGAAAAGTGCTCAATTTGTTCATATCCACTTCTTACAAGAAGTTTCTATTTATTTCCATGCCAACACTCCTTTCACACAGACTGTTTACTACAAGAGGTAAATGTAATGTAAACAAAGTCTTTTTATAGTTCTCAGGCCATCTAGAAGACATGCAGTGATGGAGATTGCAATGATAGACTTTCAACACTATCACTGCGATGTGATATAAAGTTCACGCTGTCTTCAATATTGCACCTTTCAAGACATTACAGAAAATGTGAATATCTGTCTATCTGTGTGCACAATATGAATTACCCTATTTCATTATGACGTCATAGTATGTTTACATCGGAAAACGATGCTCGAAAACAGTAGAAACTTGGACCCATTTATATTGTCTAATAAAGTAGAACCTCAATAAATCGCGTTTTGATATATATCATGTATAAATGATTGTTCATGTACATTTTATTTGATATGCAGTCACTCTGATCCCTTCTGGCGACCATAATCCTTAGCGTTAAAACAATAGAATGTTTTGATGTGACGTCATAATGAACTAGGGCAATTATTCATTGATTTTTTTTTAGGTTTCACCCATGCTAAAAGACAAGCAAAGGTAGTGCCTTCAATATTCATAAAGTCCGAAAAAAAAGAATTGTTTTTATTTGACCATGCAATGAAAATCACTATTTAGCTGGTATTTATCAGAAGAAAACCAATAGCTGATTGATAAATTAATCATTTCAGTACCAAAGCAAACATACTCTACAATCAAATATACTCCACACCATCCATAAGTGATTCTACCAAGTCTGACCAACCAAGGGAAGCACTAAAGGTACTGTACTATTGAATTGTGACTGGTATAAGCACTATTGGCATATCTACTTTACATTTTAACAATCTTTATCTTTTTATTGTTTGTGTCAGGCTGAACTGGATGAGATTGTTGCATCTGAGTGTGTTTTCTGTGGAGATCTTATGATAAAGTGAGTATAATTTTAATATTCAAATATTGGAATACTAACTTAACTTGGAGGTTGAAGAATTCATATTTTTTTCCCGTGATTGTCATGACAGTTGATTCAGAATATTATTTCAAGATAAATGTTTTACTATCTAATTAAAAAACTTTAAAACAAAATTGATCTTTTTTTATTTCAGGACTATTGATCAGCCATTTATAACAAGCGATGAATATGAGGAAGTACTAAAGACTTGGTCTTGAGAMTTACAAGAACTACAAATAGCTTGACTACTTGCACTAAAAGCTTGAAATACTCTATTGACAGTGTACAATGCAGTACAACTGTGTTTTCAGATGAATATCTGCATGTCATATGTACATACACTCTACATTGCTGATAAATTCTGCTTTTTACATGAAAGGCACTTACTTTATGGAGTGTTACATGCTTTTAGTGTTGGTACGTTATAAAAAAAACAATTACATAAAATTCAACATTCAAAATGTTGAAAATATAATAGGCATTCAAATAGAAAACAAAATTGTGTCAGGTTTCAAGATAGACATCCTTTTTTGAACCACTTGTTTGCAGATGTTGGTTTTGCGAAAGGTCAACCTAGAACATGTACATAATATTACCAAAATTATTTCCTTAAAAAAAGATAAATCAGAAATCATGATAATGTATGTTGGATTGTTATGAATGACGTGAAAATTGAATTGAACACCAGCCTACCATTTTGATAAAATAAAGATATTAAATAGAGCCGACTTTGTCTATTATTTGGGTAGAGTACAAACACTAAAACTGTGCAACATAAATACCACTAATATTGCTAAATTATGCTAATTCTATTGTTTTCTATTGTTTAATTACCACTATTTTGTGTTAAAATTATAGTGCAAAGTGTTGCAGCACACTTTTATAGCGTTTGTACTCTATTATTAATGCTGATTAAAGATAATAAATACTTATTCGAATGTAAGATTATTCTGTCCCTACACTTTATGAATCGATTTTAATATTGTATTTTACACTTAGTTGTTAACTTATCATTTAATTTTAAGTTCATTGTATTATTTTTTCTACATATTTGTTTTTTATTCCTTTGCTATCTACAATCCCACCCTATCTTCTTCATTTTCCAAATGATTCAGTTTCAAACTCTCATCATTTCTTGTCAAAATCATAAGTCTCACTGCCGACACAGCTGCAATCACAAGCAATATTGAACACATTGCGAATATTGCTGTRATGCCATGACTGCTATGCGTATCATGCAAAGCAAGCARCACAATTGCTGCAATTGTATTTAGAGGMACACGAAACCAGTTTATWATTCCMGAATGATGGGCTTCWGGGAGGATTTTYTGYCGTAACCAACCCATYGCAGGGAAATAKATTCCACATGAAAGTTCAAGAAGGATAAACATTAAGAATGATGTTCGTGGGTGGTTTGCGCTGGCAACGGCAGCTCCRACATTTGCAATTGATGCCACTGTCACTGACAGGATAACCATTTTAACAGGAGATATTTTTTGATTAACAGTAAATTTAAAGAAGGARCCACCAACTAGMACACACAGCATAAACGATGAGAAAATAATCCCTAATGGTGGATAAAGATGTGATCTGTCTAGYACTGGAGTCCATAGGAATACAAATATGTACATAGCACTTTCAAATARGGAGTTCACTATTCCCAGTAGAAGRACTCTYTTGTTTTGAACAATATGTCTCAAGCACTCAAAACAAGGWTGAAAYAACTTGCTCGACTTGCCTCCATAGTTCTCATCCCATGTCAAYTGAATGAAAATACCAGCRCTTATAAGGAATGGAATCGCAATAACAAATGGTGCAACAGGCCCAAAATTCATCCAATCAGCAACCACGTTCGCAAGCACTCCAGCAGATATAGATATAACACTGTTAAAGATTGTYGCCTTRGAAAATGTCACAGATACCCACTCTGGTGGGAAATCGTTGCTCTGGGTGTGCTCGTGGACATACCATGCGTCAAATGCYGTGAATAAYAGAGAGGTAGATATTCCACCTARAACTCTACCAGCRATAAGGACACCATAGTCACGAGATAGTTTGGTTAAACAGCAAATGGAGTACAGAATTGTGAACAGAATGCAGGCTTTTTTTCTCCCAATCATGTTAGCTAAATACCCACTAGAGGTACCAAAGATTACACTTGACGCAAAACCACATACATATATAATAGCWATCTGAGTATYGATAAATCCATAGTGACTGTAAAGCTTGTAGAGGTAGGGTCCTTGCAGCCACTCRGCCATYAATGCCAGGAAGTAMACACGGAAGTATGTTGTYTGGAAAAGTATGAAGTTTGGRTTGGCTATRGACACCTCGTCTTGTTTTGTGGTAGTACATTTGAAGTGAATAAGAATCCCAACGGCAAGAAGTATAACGAACGTGATATATGCGATGAAAAGCATGGTGTTTTSACTTAAATCAGAAACTGGAACATTACCCTGGTCATGGGAATCTTTGAAACTTTACTAGAAAAAAAGGAAATAGAAAAAAATAACAATAAAATATATAGACAAATGTGTGTTTAAGGATTATCACGAAAGTTGATGGGAACTATATAATCAATTGAGCAAAATGCTGCATGAAATATGGCTTTGCAAGAAGATTTTTTGTGGAAAATCTTTAGGAAATGAAAATCACATGAAAAATTTAAATATTTCAATATAGAAAGGATGCATTTAAAAGCTCAATAGTTGGAAAGGCGCTATTTGCAGAGCTACCTGAATCAAAACGAGCTCCATTGAGCGACGGAGATGTACACGTGTAAAAWCAAAACAAAATGGCGACCACAAGCTAGAAAGATTACTTGAAAATAGGCTAAAAATTAGCATTATAAACGCCACGTCAGCTAGGAACTTAGAATAATGAATGATAAATGTATTGAGAGATAATTGCTATAAATACCTGCGTCCTTTTAACCTCGGTGTGGCTGCTTTCACGCGAAACTCCTTCCCTAAATTCAACGTGTTGTCAGTCTGGTATGGCTCCCAATATTGTACGTTGGGGGAGATAGTGGGGGTATTGTGTACATAATCTTGTACTTAGATTTTGTACAACTGAAAGGAATAAGGAAGTTTTACTGAAGAAAAAACGATAAAATATTGTATTTTCTCTTGTACTTAATTCTAAATAGGTTATATGGGTTTTATTGCCCTCGGCAAAGAGTGTTTTTCAACATTCCGTCGGGTCTCCCCAGCGGAAATAATTTGTAACGCTATCCCACAGTTCCTTCCGGTAAAGGTGTTCAATACCATTTCCGGTTGAACAATAACAAATAAAACATACGCCACACGGATTCGTTTGGACACATTGAAAATCAACCTCTCAAAAACACACTATATTTTTCAATGARATTTCCGAAACCTTTTCTGAAACATGACAGTTTTTCTTAATGAAATTCTAGTTCATGTTTTTGACTACTTGGACGCTTTTTCGCTAACTAAAGTTTCTAYAGTTTGTAAGCAATGGGAAAGTGTTTCAAAAACTCCTCGACTTTGGCGACGACTWGTTTTACAAAAATGGTCTTCGCAGAATTTCCTGTACCTGAACGTTCCTCTGACGTGYACARATTGGCTAAAAGTCTACCAGGATTTATAYTTYAGAGGGAAATTTTCTCCYGACGATCAGAGATATTTTGTTTGTTGCCGAGTTGGYGAAGATGAACTCGAAGCAGATGAACTTCGCTCGGCTATGWTGGCGCAGATGACAAAGGTTACCAAAAAATGGACTATAGCTGAACCCTTTGAAGCAGAAGATAACCGRAACTTTCCAGTCTTTAACTGCAACTTCGAYTTTTACTACGACACGCATGATTTTATGTGGAAGTTTATTGATAAACGWCAAGAATACATTGAAGATTTGATGGGCTATAAACTTTCATCSAAGTTACAAAGAAAGTCTCGATTCATTCGACCGTATCAGGTGATGCCGAGCTGCCTATTGTTGTATCGATGGCTGTCTTTRTTTAGGTCGGTGGGTAGCGAYGAGCATGGCTTGACATTCTACAGAATWTGGCGGTACCATTTAAAGCATAWAGAMACCGGTCTTCTTTTTGAAGTTTGYGATTGGAAAGCAGCCATGTCTTGTAGCTTYCTAAAAGGCAAGCCATCTRCTGGGATATATATGGATGATTGCCTYGACCTMATGAATGTACTCTCCCACCCCCACTTCATCATGCATCCTCTGGGCCTCCCCCGTGGGGTGTTTCGATATGCCTCCCTACTATCCCAACCACCTGGAATWAGTCGGCAGACATCRGTGTCATCATTGATGTCAAACACCCCAAGATCACTTGCTGGATCGACTAACACCTTAGACAGTCGMCTGTCTGACAGTAAAGTTTGGTTRTGGTCACTAAGTGGGACGGACAGTGATGATGAATCTCTGATAAATGACGACAGTGGTTACTATAGCAACTGTGAATACTTCATCAGCGTCAGTCACTGGGATATCGAAGAGCAGCACACCATTCAAACAAGTGTWGCRGAGTCCTGGACATTTGGCCAGTCAACCGATAAACCRCAGTTGTACCTGTCATTCGATGCAGTGGAAGAAAATTGGTATTTTTATTCWTATGGATCTGRTGAGACRGGAAATGACCCTGCAACCTTGAMAGAAAACTTGTCAAAACACATCATAGACAACTCTGCATTTCATGGCTTGAACACAGAGCCAATCCCAAGCTGCCTTGCTTTGTATAGACTTATTTGTTTGTTTGATTTYGTGAACCACCATTATCGGTGCCTTGAGGAGTCGTCGCTTTGGTCCATTACGCTCATCCATAATGCAACAGGAGGATTTCTATGCCTGAAAGATAAAAATGGTTAGTACTGTTTTCAGTTTCACTCTTTCAGTTTCTTTTTTGTTCATTCTTGACATTAAGTTATTTTTTCTATTTTTCATTTTCTCTTCATGTCCATTCAATCCCATCCTATCCCAAATTTCACTTTTAAAGGAGTGAAAAATTTAACAAAGACATCTCAAAGTGTATAGATTGCCTACTTGTTTAAAAAGTTTTGAAGTCTTCATGTTAAAAACCTTTTTGTCATTGTGATTGTTCTCAGGTTGGTTTGAAATATCAGCCTGTTTGACAGATGAACTCATGAATGAYCTGAAACAAACCCAACGTACGACCACCAATCCACAACAAACACACGACCACTCAGATCACAACCAATTTGAAGCAATTGAAATGGATCCTACAGATTGGAATAACGAATATGATGGCGATGATGACGATGATAGCTATGATGATGATGAACATGATTTAGAAACACTTGGTTCCAGTCCAGAAGACCACAAYATGGATGACCTTTTGCATAGTGACCACAACATGGTTGAAGTTCCTCATATAGAACTCCCCCCTGACAGTATAAGCAATGCTATAGACTGGTACCACAATGAACAAGACAGCATTGAAGGTCAGGGGGAGGCATTTGAGCCACTACCAATCATGGAAAACAGTGAATTTGACAGTGGTAGTAAACTAGATAGTTTTAAGTCTGATGTGGTCACACTTTTAAATTTACTTCTAAGTGAAAAATTTGGTCATCCTTATGGAACTATAGCAGGTTGTGTGGCTTAAATAAATCATTCTCTGGGGTTCCTGTGGYAAAACAAAAGGGTGAAGACTGGGCCAGAGGCCTATTTTGTCTTCACAATAACAAAGGAAACCCACCAAAAATAGGCTAATATAGAGGTGTGYAACTCAAAATTTAAATTATAGATAATATATCATAAGTTATTCTCTGTTAAAAACCATATTTTGTTAAAACATTGTTAAAATATGCTAGTGGGGCTCTTGAAATAAAAATGGTTTAAGGTTTAGTGTGTGTTTTTTTTAAGTTGAATTTCCTTAAAAACACTTCAATAATTTCTGCACATGTATGTTACATATTTTAATAAGCCATTTGGAAAATTTGTTGACAATTTCTTATCTTTTGTTCCTCACTTGTTTAGAGACAATCGATATAGCTCTAGACCCCTTGCAGTTCATGAAAATGCRGCTCCAYCTGGAGGACAATGAATTCTGGTTGACAAAAAGGAGAAAATCTTTTATTTTGTCCTCTAGATGAAGCTGTTTTGAAGTCACGTGCAAAGGGTCTATCTCAAAAATTGTCGTCATGTACTATAGGGACCTAAAATCATTCTTGCAGTGACGACATCGACTGCCGTTGTTATGTGAATATTGCCACCAATGTTTGGTAGTAAATTCCAAGTGACCATGGCTATGGCATGCAATCCTTTTGAATGAAGGGTACAATTAWCAGCCATAACATGTACGTCCTTTTAGTGCCAGGAAATTATCATGGTCCAATATTGTTAGCACTCTTGAAATGAGAAYGGAAAAAARCATGGAAYACAACATGGATCAAGCTGTTCTTTCTTTCAGATGTTGCCAGTACTTTTAACTTAAAAGCATTGTTTTAACCAAGCATTTCTTTCTCATATTCAGGATTCTTTTTTAAGATAACAAAACCTTCCATAATTGGTGCCAGTGAGAGATCTGAAATAGGAGTTAAGGGAAAAACAGCATGTTGTACCAGTTGATTAAACTAGGATTTTTTATCTGAATCATTTTAATGGATAAGATAGCAATCAAGGACAGAAAGAAGAGGAAAAAAGATCTTATAAATGAAAAATGAATGGATAGACAAATATATGGATAAACAAATGAAAACAAATGGATGGATGAACAAATGAATGGATGAACACAAATGGATGGATGAATAAATGGATGGATGAACAAATGGATGGATGAACAAATCGATGGATGAACAAATCGATGGATGAGCAAATGGATGGATGAACAAATGAATGGATGATCAAATGAATGGATGAATGAATTAACAAAAGGATACATTCTTCTGTTGCAAGTTCAGCTCTTTCTCCATGAGCAAGTAACACTGGAGTTGTGTGTGTTTGGAAACCAGTAATTGATTTAGGTTTGCCAGCTTGACCAACAGTATCAACCGCCTAAAATACACAAGTAAATGAACAAAAATTTACACAAACACACCAGTGCAATAATTCATGCTTTAACAAATAAATACCTGTCCTACGCGCACAGTTACAGGAAGAGGCTGTAACTCTGAATCAAATGTTACCAACATTCTTGGCTGAATGGCAGATACCAAATGGAATAATGTATAATGTGATTTACCCAAAATAACTGTGAAAAGACAAGAATTTATCATATAATTATCTCATGAAATACCTATAATTCTASATTTCGTAAAGTTGTTATTTTCACTAGTGAAAACAACACATTCAAGGTTTCTCTATGTAGTGGAAGTAAGAAAAAAAAATGTATTTGATATTATAGATTTTTTCTTTCTTTGTCTTTTAWAAACTGACACAAAAAAGATATCTTTCCACAGCCAACAAAAAATTACTCTAGTGATAAATGATGATGATTGTTGAATATCCCACCATTTTTGACATCAAGGAAAGCAGCAAGGGTTGTAAGAAGACCACCGACGGCAACAGGCATCAGAAGACTTCTGTCACTATGATAGGGGCCAACTGTTAGCGTGCCTTTACCCATATGCACCAAACCCTAATATAAAGAAAAAACAAATCATATCACCGAAAAACACAAAAATACTATGGAGAATAAACATATTTTAATTTACAAAGAATCAGGGAAATGTTGACGTATAAAATGTGAACAATAATCATGATTTAAAGTTTAAATTTGATGTGGACAAATAAATATTGATGTATGTACAGCAATCATAGTATGTTTATACTGTTTATATACCTGCGCAAGTCGCACCATGAATAGGTTATTAGCATCTTTATGGTAGTACATGGCAAGTTGACGTAACATTCCACCCAAGCGTGCATTATTGGTTCCTGGAAAACAAAAGTTTTGTCATGTTTTTTTATGATGCAAGTGTAGAAAGACAATAAAAGAATTAAGTAAAATATACAAGTAAAAACTATGGAAAATAGAACATTAAGATTTGGTAAAATTTGTAAAAAAAAAATTTGGCAAATAATCTCAAGAGAATACAGCGAAGTCGTGATAAAGGTTTAGGACATAATAACAACACAACAAGTGTCATACATTTTCCACATTCACATCAATTTGCTATAAAATAAATGTCAGAAAAAACCATTACCTGCACCAACTATACCCATTGAAAAGATAGCATTATGAGCAACCTCAGCATCACTGTCATGAGATAGTTTACTCAGGGTATCTACTATTGGTAGCTGTGGGTTGGATGCCGATAGAAGAGCAAGAGCTAATGGRACAGCCCTTCTGATAACAGGTTCTCCATATTGTAACTAGAACAAGGGATACGTCAAGAATATCACAATAAATTCAATGTAACATCATTAATGTCAATAATATTTGATAGAATGTCGCTAAGACTTCCCATCAAATATAATGTTTGACATTCATATAAGAAGACCATTGTGAAAATATAGTTTTTTATGCATTTTATGGATAGTCCAAGAATGAAAACTAAGGACTTCACTAATGTCCAGTTCTTATGCACGAAACATTAGATTTGTATCAGTACATGTAGATCAACAGATACTGATGAATAAAGCATCAGCAGATGCTGATGAATAAAACTTCAGCAAATACTGATAAATAAAACATCAGCAGATACTGATAAATAAAACATCAGCAGATACTGATGAATAAAACATCAACAGTTACTGATGAATAAAACACATAGGCAGATACTGATGAATAAAACATCAGCAGATACTGATGAATAAAACATTAGCAGATTATGATGAATAAAACATCAGCAGATTCTGATGAATAAAACATTAGCAGTTACTGATGAATAAAACACATGAGGAGATACTGATGAATAAAACATCAGCAGATGCTGACAAATAAAATACCAGCTCTGCATCACTGATAACTCATTGATGTGTTACGACAGTTTATTACTTGACCCTACCAAGTGGTTAAATGCTCGTAATGCCATCTGTGATCCTATGTCYTCYGCCATTGCAATCAGAGCAATGCCSAGCACTGCAAAGCCTTGATGGCTGCCATCTTCTTCCTTTTCCTCTTCCTTTTCTTTATCCTTGGATTCCTTGGACTTCTCTTTCTCCTTCTCTTCWCCTTCCTTGTGTTCAAAGTGCTCGCTGCAAATGTGYAGTAGTTTTTGTATCTTTAGGACATTGCCTGTTCCTGCATAGGCACAGATTTCTACAAGTATTGAAGCCCACTTGCCAAGAGGCTGTGGTACAACTTTGAGTGCTTCGAGGGTTGCTTCTACTGCTTCTTGTTTACCTGAGCAGATAATACACAACATTATAAAGAAATTTTTTAAGGAATCAATGATAACTAAAACAGAAAATGACAAGATGGATGAATGGATATACATGTACAATATGAATAAATAAATGAGAATATGGATGAWGGAGTGTGTAAGTAAATAAACGAAAGGGAAAATGAAGGGATGATTGAATGAACAAATGGATGAAAGAATAAATGAATAGATGGATGGATAACTGGTCAACTGAATACAAATAAAGAAATAAAGGAAGAACAGAAGAAAGAAAGAAGGTAAAAAGGAAAGAGAGAAGAAAAAAAAATTATGAAATGATTAGATCAGAYAAAAGAGAAAGGAAATTATAGGAAGATGATGGTAGAAGGAAGGAAAGAAAAGTTAAGAAAAGTAAAATAGAGAGAAACAAGGAAAAGTTTATACCAATAGTCCACTTCGCGGATAATTCGAAATTTTACATTACTTCGTTACGGTAAATCATTGACATCACTGGAAAGAGCGTCATAAAATCAGCAAATTTGCCAAGTTTGAAAATAATCTGATTTAAATTCAAAGAGAAGAGATACGGCACTTCTAAAACACTAAATTTTGGCGAGTTTGTAACAAGTCAAGGTCAACCTCGATCTCATGCCGACAGCCCATACATTTCTTTGTTAATTTTGCCGACTTTTAAACGCTGTATCTCCTTGAATTTTCATCGAATCATGCTAAAACCTGGTAAACATACTAATTTTATACTGTTCTTTCCAGTGGTGGTAATATTTTTCGATTTTTGCTCAATTTCTAATAGCTGTGTTATCTGCAAAGTGGACTATTATTGTCATAGAATACCTACCAAGAAAGGTCAATCCAAGGCCAAGGGCAAGGAACCTGGCATARGTATCTTTTAATTGTGTTTCAGTCTGTTCCATCATTGCTTGAAGAATAGTTGACGTAACATCTACATTACATGTTCCTATAGMAACCATACCACAGGCAACAGATGCCATGCCAATCACCTAGCAACAGATTGATTCAAAACATAAGATACACATAATAATATATCACTTAAAACTATCAAAAAAGTGCTCAACATTGCAGGTCGTKAAGATCGGTATTTGGCTTAAATACAAAATAATATATCTGTATTTGTGAGTGACATGATTACAGCAGGAGTGTTAAAATACATTAGAAGCTGCAGCCAAATGAATATAATACAGACTGTGAACTCTGAGATAATTCCAACTGGATTTGTGTTACATATTATGTGTTTCCAACACAAAATTCCAGACCTTYTCAAGTAAATTTTCAGGACAAACATTGATCTTCAAGAACTATTYTAAAAATCTTGTTTGATGTTTCTGGACAAAATCCTCATAACCCTCTTCGCATTGTCAATCAAGACGTTGAAAATATAATTATAGATCATACAAAAYTCATAACATTTTAGTGGTTTTCAAGGGCCTTTCAAGGACCCTTGAAAAAATGTTTTAAATCCAGGGTTTGTCAAGTGTTTCAAGGAGTAATGAACTTTGTTTTACAGTGTGCCTACTGAAACTGGGGCCACCTAGAGAATATAAAATCCCACAATTTAGGTTGAAAACAAAGGATTCAGACTAAGGAAACCTCATCTCATTAAGCTTTAGTTCTTTGCAATATCACTGATCATTGTTTTTTAGCTAATTTTTAAGCCTTGTTGCAATCGAAATTGTTACATTCTCTAGGTGTCCCTGGTTTCAGTAGCCACACTGTAACAATACACCGTACCTCTGTATTTGACTTTGAATCAGTAAGAACAGGCAAGAGAAGTGACAAGATATCTTCTCTGTTTGAACCAGCATAAGCAAGACCAAGTCTACAAYGAAAGATTTTCCAACTCTAAGTGGACAACCTTTTTAAAATGGCCRAACTATCATTAACATGTAATGTACTCACCCCACTACAGAACCTAATCTCATGACATTACTATTATGGAGAACGTAGTCTGATAAGAGAGCTCTAGCTGGATCACAGTCGTTGCGAACTCCTGAGTTGACAATACCACAAGCAAGTAAAGCCCCAGCCTAAATTCAAAATAACACATTAGAGTCTATTCACTGTATAATGGTTTTCTAGCTAAAATAAGGAAATTTGTACAAAATTCTTTGTCTTCCATGGATTAATATAGAACAAACGTAAACGCATGATGTCAGATTGGACCATTTGAAGATGGAGAAATAACCCATAATAATATATATAAAAGTTGCAGTATGTTGCATGATAAAGGAAACTGTGTTGTCTCTAGCTTGAAAAAAAACAACAAAATTTAATGCCACTGCACTGAAGAAGATCACAGTTGCAATCGAAATGATTGCATTAAATTTGTTTTTTTCAAGCTAGAGACAACACAATTTCCTTTATCATAACCCATAATATACCTTAATGTAGTCTTCTGACGAGTACAGATATTTATCAATTTGTGTTAAGCCTCCGTCAACATCCCATAATAGTATCAAACCAAGAGAAGCCGTTGTGCTCATCATACCTGCACAAAGTAAAATCATTAAAAATAAGACATCAACCAATAACAAAAAGGACAATAATAGCTATCACATGGTGATGAYGTRGAATAYGATGACAATTAAGTGATGACAATAAATTGCTTATAAGGATGCCAAAGTGTATACAATGGTTGCCAAAAAACCTTGGACCATAGAATAATTTGTATCCAGTCTAACATTTTTCTCCTTTAATTTTTCACAGTTCTCCCCCTTATCCCCCTTTCATCAATGTTGGGTCTTGTTTTGGATGGTTACTATGGTAACATGATCAATGATAACATTCCATTAAGGGGTCAGGGGGGATGAAATTGTCTGCAGGTGTTGCTTAAAATGAGGAAATTCTCTGGAATGGTCCAAGATATTTTATAAACGACGGTAGCTATGATGTTTATAAGAGCAAGAATACCTAGTAATAACTAATAGCTAAATTAGATAGTGAATCTTACCATGTTCTTTGTTTTTATAAATCCATTTGTTACCATCTTCAGTCAAAAGTTTATCAACACCAAAACCAGCATTAACAAAGGAGTTAACAAACGATGAAGCAAGGTTTTGACGAGCTGAATCTAGTGAAACTCCACTTGATATWCCTAGGAGATAAAAATATACCGTCATATACAGCACTACAGTAAGTTAATGCTTATGTATAATAAAGAAACAGAATTTTATGTCAAAAACACCTTATATTACATCAGCATGACCATCAAGAATTTGTGAATTAAGACGAATGATAAACCATACACTACTGTGATAACCAGTTTTATTTCTCAAGCTTTCGTTGGACACCAACATCATCAGGAGTGTGATTAATTAATTTACATTTTTTTAGATTACATGTACGGCTTCATTATTCTATCAATTGTGAATATTTCCAAGAATTTTACCTTTATTTTCCAAGTGTGTTTTATAAATATCTTCTGGCACTTTCGGTTCCATRATGTCCAGCTATGGAAAACAGAAGAACAAAATTAGCCTACAGCACATTGAATTGAATTGGATGGAAGTGAAAGGTTTTCTTATTACACCTATTTCAAAAAATGTTGTCGTCACCACGACACAGTCCACAGTTTTTTTTTTTGAAATAGGTATATAATTAGTTCTGTTTTACCTCTCTAGCAAGGCTTAAAAAGTTGTTGTTCAAAAGAGAATTTGACATAATTTCCATAATGTCTTCATAGTCTTCCATGTCTTCATCTAACTCCAGGAAAAATTGCTGTCTTGCTAACATGAATGCCATTTGCTTTTGAATAAGCTTTTTCTCAGCACTWRAAAGAAGCAAACATGTATATTTTCTCAATAAAAAAAATCATAATGGATAAAAGCACAGTGATTTTTGAAATACAATGTACTTCATGCAACAATCAAAGGAGAGCAAATTGAAATATTTCTTACCTTCCCGTACAAGCCATGAAGATTTCTTTGACAAGATTGGTGTCATTCAATTGTATAGCAAGTTTCATAGCTTCTGGCAATCTGTCAAACTTTCTAAATATACTCAAAGCTGTCCTTATTAATGTTGCATCCTCTGGTTCAGGTACATAATTAACACAACTAGAAACAAAAAAGTTTAGATAACTGTTAATATTTTGCCAATGATAAATGTAGGGTACCAGAAACTCATAAGGGGATTGAAACGTGTAGCACGGTCAGATGCTCCGAAATATTCAAAATGATTAGCATAATTTTGATACCATATTTGGGCCAAACATTTGAGTTTGAGATGAAAACAAAATGGCGGACAGACGACGGCAAAAAGTTGTCTCGTTTTAAATGGTTCTAAAATGTAGCTAAAATGCTCAAAAGAGCTGAAAATCGTACAAAATCAACTGATTACCATCCAAAGGACATGGAATGAGGTATATTATTGTTCCAAATATGGTTGTAAAATGACTTCAGTTGATTCATTGGCGTTTTGAATATTCCGGAGCATCGAACCAAAGAAATGTACTGTTGCTACACGTTTCAATCCCCTTATGAGTTTCTGAGGGTACATTATACCATCCAGGGGGTTTACGGCTGCCAAAGGTCATAGTTTATTAGGCTGGTCTGGGCATTCTCCCCCAGAAAATTTTGAAATGATTATTATAACTCTTTGTAAATGCAATTTCCAGCATTTAGAGAGCCATTGAGAACATTAAAGGGCATCAAATTTATGGATATTTTCCATAACTTGGCAATGAGAAAAGGTGAAATAATTATTGGGAGGAGATAGGGTTAAATGCCCCCWGCCACCCAACCACCACCTCCCCACCTCCCTCATCACGTTGTCCCTGCTATGAGGATGCAAAGATTTGCAATTACTTTCTTGATAGTATCCAAAATGCAAAAATTAAGAAAAAACATTGCAGTTTAAAACACAGTACCTTGTCAAATACAAGCACACTCTCTGGAAGTTGTTTTCATCTGTGTATTTCTCTAGCTTGTCMAGCTGCTCTATCTCCATCAGTAGGTCACATGCATCAGTCTCGGCATTGTGCTGCATGTCATATGGTATAATCTCCATTGCAAGGGCTATCAGCTGCTCCATGGATATTTCTTTCAAAGCTCTTTCATTATATTCAGCTCTGATTTCTTCTGATAAATGTCTGATATTAAGATAATATAACAAACACAAATAAATATGCTTTATTGCTCAAATCATTTTGGAAGTAATGAAGTTGAAGACGAAGGAATGTATAGTGAATGGAAGACTGAATGGTGGGAGTGAGAAGAAGAGACATGGGAATAAAATGAGAGAAACATTTATGACAAGAGGGAAGGAGAAATAGAAAGAAAGGGAAAAGGGAGAGAGAATGAAAGGGAAATGCCTGAAAAGGAAATGAAAAAAGAATGCTAAGGATGCATGAAATTGAAAGAATTT